GTCTTTGGTTTGGGTGCTTTTAATCTTTTTGGGAAGGAATATGTTGGAAGATGGGCTGATTGGGTTGGGGGTGTTGAGAAATTTTTCAAGGAGAAAAAGTGGCAATTCAGGTTTTTTTTTTTTTTTCTATGTATTCGGTTAAGTATTGCCCTGTTATCGAGTTTCATAATATAGATAAATTATTTGTTCTTTGCAGTAAGACAAGTGACTTAGAGAGAGCCATGGTCTTTGGTTTGGGTGCTTTTAATCTTTTTGGGATTATCATTCTGGGAGCTATGTTGAAGTAAGCCCTCATCGTGACATGTCCATTAGATACTGCTTCTAACTTCCTAGCTCTCTAATAATTCCTCTTATACTTTTATTTGAAGGGATGTTGCTATTAGACCAAATGGATATATAAAATTTGTTGCCGACATATTTCCCCTACTTCAGGTTTGATTTGATGGTTGCTTTTTAATTAGATGGTTCAGTTAATAGAATTTAAATATGTCTTTCTAATAACTGATCTCACAAAATAAACCTGGTTTGACATTGCTTTTGTAAATGATTCTGATGTTAATTTTGCAGATCTATGCTGGCTCTTTCTTTACAATTCCTTTGATCCGGTGGTTCCTCATTCGCAAGAGGAATGCTGATATAGAGAAGAGAAACAAATTGAGGGAACAGTTTGCTCGAGCACTTGAATTGCCTAATCTTTCGCTGAGGCAGAAGGTAGCAATTCAACACATTTATTATGCATGGTTTTTAGTAACAATTGATTGTATATGCAGTCCAATAATTTGCATTTTTTAGTTGTGCTCTGTTGATAATTTTACTATTGTTACCTGTTTCTATTGTCTACATGTGTTTGTGAACCTTCCTGCAACAACTATATCCCAACTGCTAAATTATAAATGTATTCAATGTTATGATCTATGCTTCCAGATGCACCTCTTTTCTTTTCTGACATATTTACATATATTATTCACCAGTGCTGGTAGATCACTAGTATCCATTCTTCACATGCTGTATCAATTTGTAAATGGTTAGGAGAGGGGAAATGAGACCTGTTGTCCCTGTGACTGCAGAAAGATGCAACAGGGGAATATTGCAAAATCTATTTTTACCTTTACAATTTGAAATTTTGTTTCCCTGTGAAGTCCTTAAACTTATGATAGCATCATGCCCTGCTGCAGTTTGTCCCATAAAATTGTTTCATTTAAAACATTGCGTTCCCTATTTTTATGTAAAAGATTGTTGAGCATACATAGGTACCGTAAACTACTCCATGAGGATTGATAACTTATTTCTCCATTATATGATCTGTCAGCTACTGAGTGCTCGAGATATGGCCCAGAAAACAGTCATAGGAAAGGATCGCATCGTGTATAGTACTGATAGAGACTTGGTCGAGCAAGATTATGAGGCACAAGAGTGGGAAAGAAGATTCCGAGAGATTGAGAAGTCAGAATAGGCCATGTTTACTGTTTACTAGGTAAACTTTACATATATGTTTCTTCTGATGCATATAAAGAAGCTGGCACAAATGACTTGGGCTTAGACTTTAAACAAGTTTCAAGGTTTTAAATTACTCTGTTTTCCTGCTCTTTTAAATGTGTTCCAATCAAGGCAACATTTTTGTAAATGCATAATGTTTAGAAGTTCAAATTGGATCTCATCTCTAGCACCTAGTTACAAAAGTTCTGTTGTTATCTTTCTGGACCCTCTGCCCAAGTTAACATTCTGGTCAATACCACTTGTATTTGTAATTTCCTTGTTATCAAAGATTTATTTTTCCCAAGCTTCTTTTTAACTTTTCCTTTACAGTCACCATTTTCAGGGGATCAAGTATGTGTCATTCTTATGAGGTATCTTTTCATTGAGCGCTCAAGCTCAAAGCTATAACTTTTGAGGCTGTTGGCTGGTTAACTTATCGTTGATCTGACAAGCAAATGATCTACAAGAGGATATATATGTAGATCTCCCATCAGTGCAACAGAGATATCTACAATGGTTGTAATATAGTTTTGGCTGCATTGTCTCTACAAATTCCTAAATATGTCCCTCCCATCACAAATTTACCACGGATCAAGATCAGCTTTGTGAATTCAATTCTCCTTTTGTATTTAATTTCTTCAGCTTAATGGAGCTGATGAACATACACAGGATTTGTGTATTATTAGATGTCGAGAAAACATTGCTGGTCTTGATGAGGTTGTTCATTTTGATAAACAAATTGACATGATAACTGATTACACATGATCATGCACCACGACTCATTTAACAGTGTCTGTTTTTTGTTTTTATTTTCAGCAGCTAACCTTGTTTAATATTTTAAATTATATCAAATTATAAAATAAAAATTATTAAATATTAAATTATATCAAATTATAAAATAAAAATAATTAAATAAAAAATAGAGTTATCTACCTTAAGTTGGGCAATCTGAAATACCCAGTGAAAATTTTCTCGTTTTTTCTTTGTTACTCGCTTTTTTTAGAACGGAGTATCCTCTTTTTCGTTTTGTGTAATCTTAACATTAAAATTATAACAATATGAATAAATTTAAAAGATAATTTTATTAAAAATGTTTAAATAATTTCGGAATTTGTACTGCATAAAAAAGTACAAAATGACAAAACGTTTTTTCCTACTCGAATTCACCTTCGTTTTCTGTTTGTTTCCTTAGAAAATCAAGAAAACAGAAGGAAAATTTCAAGATAACACGTTTTCAGGAATCAGAGTCTGTTTGCTCTAATGAATCAAAATGTTGGAAATTTCAAAATAACACATTCTGATTTCTAGAGCAAATGAATTAAGTGAAATACTTGGCCATCTGGATCTCTTTCTTCTTAAACCCACACTTCTCGTAGAACCCTCTGTTATCCTCACTGCAATCGAGAATGACCTTGTAACATCCCATTGCGCGAGCATGATCCGTGAGGAACTCGATGATTTTCTTCCCTAATTGCTTCCCTCGCGCGCTACCATCGACCACGACGTCCTCGATGTGTCCTACTTTGCCGCAATTCCTCAAGAACTTCTTCTCGATCAACACGCTCCCGGTCGCGACGATCTTGCCAGAGCCGTCGTCTTCGATCACACAGATAAGGTGGTCGTCTCCGTAGGATCTCAGCTCCTGGAATCGATCTTCGAATTCCTTATCAGATACAGAATCGCAGACGCTTAGTTGCTGCAGTAGATCTATAAAGCCTTTGGCTTTGTCCGAAATTTCCAGTTTCCGAACTCGGAAACTCTCTTCCCCGGCGACTGAACTGGTGTCCTGCATTTTCTAGAAACTTCGATTTTGTAGCGGCGATAGATAAAATGGCTGGGTTACAGTTTCAGCCTAATTTGAGGCTTCAAGAGGAAAGTTGATATTAAATGCATGATGCCCCAGCGATTTAGCAGGATTTTATTAATAGTCCTAATTTTATGAATAATTTGAATTACACCCTTGATGATTTAATTATGATTAATAGACTATTTTGCCTTTTTTTTTAGGTTGTATAATAGGATTAATAATCACATCTTTTTACTCATTTCACCTACATCTAAGATCTCTTATTTTAGAGAACATTACTCTACATCACTTATACCATTATCTTTCCTTTATTTTTTTTGAATAAAATGTGAAATTTATCATCTATAAAAATGAATGTATCATAAGTTTAAAATTTAAAAATCTTATTTAATAAGTAAATTTTAAAAAATTTGTATTTAATGAACGACTAATTTCTTTACATAAATTTTTTTTTTAAAAAAAAGAAAACTAAATATATAAGTTCACTAATTTCAACACTTTGATGCATAAAAAAATAGGTTAAAATTTTAAATTACAGGTGAAGATTGAATGCTTAAATCTTTACAATAATTAAGCACACTAATGTAAAAAAAAAATTGAATCTTACAAGCTGAGTTAGCCCTTTAAGTTTATAAGCTATTTGAATTACCTTTTTGGAAACAATTAATGATTAATAATTGATATTTGATGATTGATAATTATTGATATTTATAATTCAAAATAACTAATTTATTTAATTAAAACTAACAACTAATAACTATTTTTAATATGTCAAAACAAACCCACCTTTACTTCTTTTGTTAGCCCCTTTAGTTGTTGATAGGTTCAATTTGGTATGATAAAAGGACTGGGGATGTTATTGAAAATTTTGAAAGATTTCAGACTCAATTGATGTAAAAATAAAGTTTTAGGACACATCAGAAATCCTATTTAAGATCAGGGATTAACAGCAGGTTAGATTCGTTAGAAGGAGGAAGACGCGAGACCTGAAACTGTATCGTGGTTCGTGTGTTTGGCACAAACCCAGCTCCTTCCCGGGGAGAAAACCTCCGTCTCCGACATGGTAAAAGCTTGGACGGCGACCACGATCACGATGTACTGAGGGAAGATCTTACAAGGCATGTCGAAATCGCTGATTCATCGCATAACGCCGTTCTTCGCCGCTCGAATCCGGCAAAACCACAGCCTTCTGGTGTCTTCTTATTCTTCTTCCTCCTCTCCGGCTCTTCATGATTCCTCTTCTCAATCTTTATATCCTTCTCTTGATTCCGTTCAGATGACCGATAATTGCATCAAGGTAAATGTACTCTCTAGCTGTTTATTTGATTTTTTTTTTCTTATTCAAGTTTTCTTTTTTCCTTTGTTATTAATGGTTGACGATTCATCTATGTTTATGGTTTTTTAAATTTTCTTTGTTTTCCTTCTTGTGTACTTCGATTTCCATTGATTTTGTGATTGCTTTGTAATTAATATAGGCTTATGTTGTTGGTCCAGTCTGGGCGCTGAAGCTCCCGTAATTGAGTTTCTTCTTTTTGGGAAATTTAATTTGGAACTGAAACTCAATAGAAACATTTCAATCTCATTTTTCCCCCCCAATTTTTGTTTCTCTGTTCCTTTTCTTGTTTTGCACAATTTCTTTTTTTTCCCTTTGGTAATCGATGTTCTTGCATTAAGTGCAATGTGCAAAACATGGTTTATATTGAGTGAAGATTAATTATTGATTGGTTGTAAGTTGGATCACTTTCTGACTTTCTCTGTTAAGATAAACATTTTAGGTTTTTAGCAGACATTTTTTTTTATCCAATTAAACTTTGCTAATTTTTGAATTTATGGAATTCACCATTTTTATAATTTGTGATGAATATATGGTTGTTAATATTTTATTTTCTGGAGAGTGTTTAAGATTTTTTGTAGTTGTACTTTCTTATTGACTTTAGGAGTCCCTTACAGAGAATGAGAGAATTGCAAGTCAGTGAGGAATCAGCAGATGAAAAGATGCTTCGCTTGAGTGTAGAAACTGGTGGATGTTCAGGGTTTCAGTATGTTTTTAATCTAGATGACACGACCAACCCAGATGACAGGTCCTTTCTCTCTTTGAATTCATAGACTGTTGTTGCCATCTCTTTTATTCCTCCTTTTAAAAAAGAGAAAAAATGAGGCATGCTTATTTTTTGTCTTTCTGCTACCTTGTTAACCCTTTTGTCTTATCCTTTTATATTTTCAGGGTTTTTGAGAGAGGAGGAGTAAAATTGGTAGTTGATGATATTTCATATGATTTTGTAAAAGGGGCAACTGTAGATTATGTTGAAGAGCTAATTCGTTCGGCATTTCTTGTAAGTCATGTTATCCTCTTTGAGTGTATTTCTCTTATCAGTTCATATTTTTTTTCCTAATAGATAAATGATATTATAATGTAATTTCACAGCATTTCTTAATTAAAAACAGCTCAAGCACTAGGGTATAACAATAGCCTTTTGTGAGTGCAAAATGGACACATTTTATATAGCAACATTCGGATGCAAATACTAGGATTTTTGGTGTCTCTGTTTTTGGTATGAGGGGATTGCATTTTTAGTAATTACCTTCTCCATATGAATGCATCTCTGATTGCAGGTGCCTGGCTATTAAAATGCTAATCATAAATTTCAACCATAAAATCATAAATGGGGCATGCATTCACGGCTTCCTTTTTCCTGCAATGTGCCTAGGCACTTGTATAATGCATCAGCTATTGCATCTGTTCCATATCCATGCTTCACATTATGAAGTTCTGCTGAACTATTTTCACATCTTTTGTACAATTCATTGCTTGAAATTTGGATGATGAAAATAATGTGAGTGAGCTTTAATAAGTGGAGAGATTTTTCAAGGCCTTAATTTATCAGCCATAAGATTAGGGTGTTACTACCTTAGTTTGTGAGATTTAACCTTAATAACTTCTTAAATGAAGTATTGAGTAGCTTTAGTTTTAGCAATACCTTCATTAATAACCCTCCACATCTACTTTATGCCTCTGTTTTCTTCTGGTGCTAGTTTTTCTAGTCTGGTAAAATGGCATCAGTGTCTCTTGTGCTTGGTATAATATGGAGTGAGTTATACTGTCTAGTAACTGAATCTCGATATCTTATGCAGGTGACTACAAACCCAAGTGCGGTGGGAGGATGTAGTTGTAAAAGTTCATTCATGGTGAAACAATAGGTCGTTCAAATACATTACCTGTATTTCCAGCCGTGACGAGAAACCATCTAGATCTGGAGTCAATCAATTATTCTACAGGATTAACAATAATCTGAATTCGTACACAGTGAGCCTCTTTCATGTAATATTTTGATGCTTCACAGCTTGCCTTGCATGATAAACTGGTTTATAGTCAACTCATCTCTTTTGGTATTAAATTACAGAAAATAAAGTATAATAATTTGTGATGACTCCCATTAGTTCATTTGCAGTTTGCACATGTTGGTTGTGACAATGTATGGATTACATTTGACGTTTGATTAAGTTTAAACGTAGCGAAAATCATTGGTGCAGTTTAACAAACATAAACCATGCTTCAAATTCCTTCAGATCAAAACCATATGCCACATTACTTGCTTACGAGAAGGATATAAAAAATTTTACCGTTCAGCCTTTACCTTCATCCAATTTTTGACTGTCATATTTTTCGAGGGTGAAATTTTGGGTAAATAATATTTCATTAGGTCCCTACATTTTCACATAAATTCCCATTTGAGTTCAACGTCAATTTATTTAGAGAATAATATCTATCCATTTTAATAATAAGAATATGTTTGGATCAAGAGAAATATAATGATGTGGAGAAAGTGAATGAGACGGTGACCCCTTGCGATCACTCTAAATAACTAGTTATTGGGTATAGCACGCAAACAACAGGGAAAAAATTAAGTTGGTTTGATGGTTCAATTATTATCATATTACCATAAGTCTGTAACAAGTATTGCAACAACAAGAGCAGAGAACCAAAAAGCCGCCATCCAAAATGCTGGCTATTTACTGCTTCAAAAGAAAATTAAATTGATTCACAGTTTCAGAAACAAGTTCGTTGCAGCGAAACAAGCAACAATTATTGCAAATTTGCAATAATAAGCATTGCTACCTATAATAGATATATGCTCGGGCCAATTATAATAGTAACTTCAAAATAAGTTTGGACATCACAGCTTTCATTCTTCTGATTGCCTCTGTCCCAGAACAGGAATGTCTTCGTATCGTTTCTGATGTATAGCAAGAAGATCAAGATTTGAAGTCAGCAAATGAGAAAAACAGTACGCTCCAAAAGCAAATCATCACACATAAAGGCAGATGTTAACCTTTTTGATTTTTAAATGAGCTGCACGCAACACTATTGATTGAATCATTAACAAAAGAAATAGAAACAAACAAACAAACAAGAGGCATCCATCATCACTCTTGTAGGAGCCTCAATGAACTTGGGGAATTTATTTCATTTCAACTAGAAGATAAACTTTTAAGTCCCCAATATTCAAGGATTTCATGGAAACCGGTCACGCAGAAATAAATTCCCCAAAGACTTAAGTTTTGATTGATCGAGAATGTATATAATTGCAATCTCTAGATATGTCTGGGCTGGGGTAACATCTGTATATATCATTTGGGAATTAATGGAAAACTACCAGCTATTCTCCCCAAAAATAAAGGTTCCATAGAACATTTCTACACAAAGCCTATGGCTCTATACCAGACTCATGAGGACTTTTATTAGACATATTCCCATATACAATACTACTTTCAGACTTTCAGCGAATGCATTTTGCCTGCTTCCCCAAAACCATCTGAAATATTGGTTAAGAGCACTGCAAGTAGACTGAAATCAAAGGAAGAGAACAGTGCGGCACAGGCCCCCGGGTTCATCGCTAATTAGGATTCAAAATACTACATTATCATCTCATCTTGTTAATCAAACAAATATAAATTCAAGAGTGTGTGTGTGTCTGGCAAGTCCATGGGAATTAAATGAACCAGTTTCAACTTTAAATCCCAGAAAACATATGCATACGTAAGCCATATATTTTGTAAAATATAAAACCAAATAGGAACTATTCATGTTCATTTAAATGAAGGAAAAGTAGCAAAAGCAAATAAATCAAATGGTTGAAGCAATACCCCAACATTGTTGTATTCCCACAGCTTCTTAACTCCATAATCCACAGCCTGCAATGCAACCAGCAAATCAATTACAACAAGAATCCTCATTTTCACCATAATTCAACTGAGATATAAACTGCTGCAATTAAATTTTAGCTGAATCATCCAAGCTCGGAAAACATGAATATCCTTTTACAAAAATTAAAATATTAGAGATTTTGAAATCGATCACTCTTAAGATTGAAAATGTTCACTTTTCTGGTCAACAAAACACAAGAGAATAGAAAAATGAAGGATGTAGCAGAACTGCTGAGAATGATCCAATGAAAAACACGAGAACCAAACCCGCTCTCCCAGGAAAGCGCCAGCGACGATGAATGTAATATAGACGGAGTTACGACGCATGATAACTCTGTAGAGACCTTCGAAGAGGCCTCCCTGACTTCTTCGAGATGAGTATTCCATGGCGATTTGCTACGAAAACAGAGTCTCCGCCTTCCGCTATCGCCCGCTGGGTTTCAGGTTAGGGTTTGCACTGGCAAGATCTGGTGATTTACGAGGCGGATTGTCGGGTCGAACCAGTAAAGCCGGTGGCCCATTTGATCAATAAGTATGGACTGTCCACGGACAGACCAATATTTAACCCAATTTTGTTTCGTACCCCACTCTTTTTTTTTTTTATATTTATTTTTAGGTCAATTTACAATCATACCAGAACAGGGGATGAAGAAGGAGATTTCTGAAAGGTCGAACATTTAACTCTAGATGGTTTTCCCATTTATGAATCAATAAGTTGTATTATAATAA